ATTTGTCCGTTATATAGTCTGCCCACAATGTCAAACGCAGTTTTAAGTCAATGGAGGTCGAGGAACATTGCATTCCCTTTTCGATGATGAACCTTTTTCTGATAAGCATGTTGCACTGGATTACCAGGTTTTCTTAAAGGTGTTATTAGCCATGGAGCATCTCCAAATCCTGCTTCACCTAGGAGCACAACACTAACTTGATTTCTCCTGTTAACTGGCTGGATATCAGAATTGGTCCAAATACGGGCATCATGAACTGAACCCAGCCAAGAAACATCTACACTTGTAGATATTTATGAACTGTTACAAGTTACTAGTATATTAAGGCTTGGATTCCTTTTCTGTTGATATATGAATGCAATCTATTGTTTCTATTATACAAGGGAAATTATATGATTCTTGCCTCGCTACTTTTCCTTGTTCAAAATCTTCATCAGTAAAAGGGAATATATCAGAAAATGTTTTAAACATTGCAGGGGCGTCAGAGTTTCTCTTTACCTTGCCTCCGAATGACCCACCTATCCATTCAAAATGTTTCTTTTAAAATGGACCAGATATGCTCCAGTCTTCAATCACATATTTCTATTTATTAACACAAACTGGAGTCAACAAATTTTTAGCTAGTTTATATAGTAAATAAAAATAAAATAACATTTTTCTTAATTGTAGGTTTAAATATTCTGATTAAAATCTCTTCCGAAAAGATTAGATACAAAATTTTCAACCAGAACGTATTTTAAATATCAATGTTATAAATTATTCCATTTGAGAATATAATTCAAATAATAATTAAAAGTACAAACTATAGAGATAGTCTTTGAATGTTTCCAAACGGTAAATACTTTTTTTAGGACAATACATTGTATAAAAGTTGCTAATTTATGAACTAACTGTATTGGATGAAACCAATGTCCCAATTTTATTGTGGTGGCCACATTGATATGTACTAAATTTATAAAGAAATAATAATTAAAGTATTATAAGAATAATCTCTGGTTTTTTATCGACGACCGATAAAATAAATATTTTATTATGTCAATTCGTTTATTTTAAAAGGTATAAACGCTTGGATACGTCTATTTTTAAACTCCTCGCTTTTAAAAGTCATGAAAATCTGATTTAAAAATGTATTAAGTAACGGTCTATTAACATTAAAATTTAATCTAAATATTAAAGAAATTGATAAAAATTAACATATGCTGAGTGCAGTAGTTTATGCTCTAGATGAAAACAGTCCATGTCTATGTGTAGACTCTGTTTCACGAGAGAAGAACACAGCTGAAGTTGCAACGATGACAGTCGCAGAAACCAAATTATGTCTTGTTTACCTACGTCGCTTAGTAACTACAGGGTCACGTCACTGGCGTACCATGAATATTTTTATGCCAATAGCCATTTATTTATTTGTTAGCGGCGTTAGCGTTTGACATTTAAGGTTATTTTTTTGGAATCGCCTATTTGTTAAATATTTTTGATTTTAAATTATTTTAAGACGTTTGTAAGTGAGTGTTGTGTGTTTTATTTAATCTAAAACCATGCCTCCTAAAAAGCTTGTTGGTTTAAAAGGAAAAATTATCCTCAGTCAAGGTCGGCAGATTATAAACAATGTTGCATATTTTATGCAATCCGAAGCTGAAGATAGAATTTAAATTCCTTTACAAAATCATCGGTAAGTAGAATAAAAAAGTATAATACCTATGTAATAATACAATTTATTATTCCTAACCAGATCAGTCAGAATTTACAAGTATTCTTTAGTGAATGTATATACTTTAGTACTAAGACTAGTCTTTGGACAAAAAGATCGGTTATTTCATTATGTTATTGTAGATTATAAATCGTGCCCTTATTGCAAGTACCACCTAATTATATATTTTGTCATTAACATACGTAGTTTGGGTAAAATTTTTTATCTGTAAAACAAATATTGCTAAATTTTGTCAGTAGTTTGTAGCTATAGTTTGTTTCCTATAAATTGGACTGTTTACTGAAAGAACATGGGCATAAAGTCTTACGGTTACCACCTTATCATCCAGAATTTAACCCAATAGAAAAAAATCTGGGCACTGGTTAAGAACTGGGTGGCAGTGCACAATACCACATTTAAACTGGATGATGTGGAGAAATTAGCCAGGAAGAAATTTTCAGAAGTTTCTGATCAAGAATGGTATTCTATTTGCGAACATGGAAAGAAATGCGAATCTGAATGGATTAAAAAAGAACACATTCTGGATAATGCTGTAGATTCTCTTGTGTTTACTGTAAATACAGGATCGTCTGATGAATCTACTGAGGATGATTGCAGCAGTGACAGCAGTAGGAGTATTATAGAATTGCTTAGTGACTCTGAAAGCGATTAATAATAATACAGGCCTACAAGAAATAATTTTTTCCAACATATCTACCTAGATTCTAGGCAAACGTATTTTAAATTTTGTGATATGGTTCAAATTTATGATTTTAAAATCGATATATCACTAATGTCAATAAACAAAAAGTCTTAAATTTCTTCATAATATACTTTTCCAATAACTAGTAACTATCATCTAAAATTTCATCATTTTGTTTAACTATAAATGGAATTAAACAAGTTTGAATTTTTGAAGTAAGGGTAAAAAGTATAAAATTTTGTAAAATATTTCACACATGTGCAATTAGCAGTCAATTGAATAAGAAATACAACAAACATTTATTATCACTAAGCTATTTTGTATTCATTGTTCTTACACTCATCGTTTGATTAACTACTATTTTATACTGCAGATTTCGTTAAAGTTTTTAGATGTGAAATGTTTTAAAATTTTATATTTTTCCCTGATTTACAAAATTTAAAAAGTAATACTAAAGTTGCATATTATGGCATTTGAGTCCCAACTTTTCAATGATTTTTACCAGTAATCTGAGTAAACCATTTAATAATCAATATGTTACCAATATTTTTCATGCATTCCTTAATTAAAATAAACAATTTTATAAGTTCCTATTTTGTGTTTTTTTTTACCTTTTTTTTATTACCTAAACGATATATTTAAAGCTTGAAGTAATAGGATATTATGTCCTAAGAGTTCAATATCGCATCTAGTCCATTTTTATCAAAAAAACATTTATAACCTAAGATTTTACAGGAAATTTAATATACTTTTTATTGTGTGAGGCAATTCCTGCACCTACCTCTACTCAAAATCAATTATAAGCAAAAAAGTAAACAAAATTAATTTTTTGCGTATTAAATTCTTTTTTTATATTTTTTACATAAAAAAAATTAAATAAATAATTTGATGTGAAATAATCATATTATTATAATTATATTAACTGCATGAATTTTGCCTCGCTCAGAAAGCAATTATACGCAAAAAAAATGGATCTTCTGCTATTTAAATATTTTTTCTTATAATTGCATTTACAAAAAATTTCGTATTAACTATACCTGCATTTTGCTTCGTTTCCGAGATATAAAAAACTCTAAGGGTTGAATTTTCACCCTTATCTCCAATTTCCACACGCTAATTCAATAGCATATTTATTGACCATTTGAATGATTTTTGCCATAAAAACCCAAAAAGTGATCATTACTATCTTTATTACATATTCAATAGAGTCTATAAGGGATTTGCAAATTGCATTTTTTTTTATTTCAACATTTCTTGCATTAAAACTGATGAAAATGACAACACCAATTTCATATTTATATTTATTTAAGAATTAAATTTGAAATGGTTACGCTACTGATTTGAAGTCAAACATCAAATTTATAATATGGCGCTGGTTATGACGACACGTTCGCGCATACGACTGCAACTTCAGGTGTATTCTTCTCTGGTGAAACGGATTCTATATCTAGACCTCTCGAAAGCATTTGATACTGTCAGCCACCGTTTACTTTTGGATATCTTGGAAGAGACAGGTATAAGGGACACATCACGCCAATTATTTGAAAGTCACCTTACACACCGACAAGGTGTCTACAGTGATCTAAGATCCATAACTTTTACGGTATCCCACAAGGTGTACGGTACTCGGTCCTATTCTATTTAATCTTTACATCAACGGATTATTTTTTATCGAGAATTCAGGGAAAGTTTTGGGATTCGCGGACGACACTTCAATATTTTATAAAGCCAACTCCATGGCTAGAAGTGCTAGAACTAGAGCAACATGTTGAAAAGGACCTCCTAAATCGCGCTACAGGGTGTTGGATTTCTAGGAATTATTTTTGCCGCGTTTGAGAATCCACATCGGATGCATCTGAGATGTAGTAAATCTGAGATGTAAAAAATGCATCCGATGTGGATTCTCAAACGCAGCATTTAAATAACAATTCGTCCCATCGCAAATAAAAGTTCGTTTTCAAATTTTGAGGAACTTCCTTGTTTTTGGGGGTTAATTTATCGCTGGTACCCTGTATATATTTCTCATTTTTTTGCGAAACAATCCGTAATGTCTCCAGGTCACACAGGTTAGGTAAATTAGTTAAATACTTTTAAAAAAAATTCTCATTTTATATTTTTTTTTAAACAAGCCTGTGATGAGAGGTTAGGTAAATTACTTAAGTTTTTTTTACTGCGGATATATACGTAACTAAATATAGAAATGAGACTAGGCACAAGAAGCGACTAGGAAATAAATGTTAAAATTAAGAGTAGAATTAAAGCTATGGCACCTACATTTACCAATGTAGATGAATATCTTACACATTTAGCACATACTCTATAAAATAGATTTGTCCCTTTTGTATAAATTGTGCCAATTTCAAATTAAAAAGCGATCTTTGTCACTATTTAGTGCTAATGTGTCCAATGATACTTCTTCCAGTTGCTATTTTCTTTACATATTTTCGTCACCTGTTTATAAAAAATAATAAATTATAAAAACAGGAATGGGGAATGCATACTGCCAAGAGTTAAGCATTCCCTTACATACAAAACTCAGTGTTTTGTTCTGAAGGACATTTCCCAAAACAGGAGTTGAAAAAGACAAAGAACCAGTAAAAATAAAACAAAATTTTTTTATTGAAAAGTTTATTAAAAACGCAAAATTAGAAAATAAATAACTCCAATAAGACTAATACTTTTTTAAAGTTTTTCTTATAAGCGCAATTCTCTGTTTGTGCGCTTCGGTCGTCAAACTTCTCTTGTAAGGTCTCAATTCATCAGTGCCAAAACCAGGAGTCCACATACTGTAATTTCTATTAAGAAATTGCTGCACATCTTTCACTTCAATTGTGTTAACATGACGATTTTTTGCAATTAGAGCAGCCCCATTTAGACATCTATCCACGAATTCATCTACATAACTTAATATTATTTCTTCAACCTCTTCTTCTAGATTAAGAGTTTGGTCTGTTTCTCTAACTAAATCTTGAAGACGTTGTTTTGTAAGTACTTGCATTGGTTCATTTGTAGACATATTTTGTTGTATAGCTTTTTGCTGTTGTGTAGTTGCATTTTGAATTGGTATATTCTGTACCTGAATGTTTTGAACACCGACGTTATTTCCTAAAAAAAATACTACTGTTTTTAGCTTCTGTAAAATAGTTGGAACATTTGGCAGGCTGCACACGTCAGGGTTTTATCATGAATGAAGACATTGAATTAGTAGCCATACAAACCTGCCCTAGGCCAGGACTGGTTAATATCTAAGGGGGTTGTGACATTGAACCAGTAATTAGACGCTACTACTACAAGATATGTTAAAAGAATATGCAAAGAGGGCCTATGTTTAAAATTTCGTAACTGGGTCACTTATTTACTTGAAAAAAAAAAATTCCAATATACAATAATTACAAACCTTGTATAGTATCTACCATAGGAATTCCTGTTTTGATATCATCATTCTGATCATTAGAATTTGTGTGTGGAATAGCATTAACCACAGGTACACTATTATTAACATTGGTCATTATTGTATGTGTTATTGGAACCTGGTTTAACACGATGTTTTGCTGTTGTAGCAGATTGTTGGTTAAATTTGGAACCGACATCGTTAAATTTTATTTTCTACCAATTTATTAACTATAAATAGACTTATTTTTGATTATTTACGGGCTTCTTGGTGTTTGTTGTATTTTTATTTGACACAACTGACAAACGACACTGACAACTTCTTCATAATTCTATTAAAGCAGGTCTCTTTTGTTTCGGTATTCAAGTACTTAATTATTTTATTTATAAGGCTAGGCAGTTTATATTTTACATAAAATAATTACGAAACGGCATAATAACAAAACTGAAAATAGACATAGAACAACTGATGTTCATCTATCCCAATTACCATAAAGGCGAAGGCACACCAGGTTAGACAAGGATTATATCAGAGTTCACAGCCCACAAAAAAAGAAGAAAATAAAAAATTGAGGTTATGTAAAAGTTGTTATTACACTTTTGCAGATTTATCAACTAAAAACTTTATAAAACGTATTAATTTTAAAACAATAATGGCTTTAAGACACAAATTATTTCAAATATTACATCCAATATTAACAAATAGAGTAAATAATCTGGTAATTTTTAATCACCGATTTGTAATTTAAACATTTTTCAGTGTACATACTCAATTCGACATTTCTGTTACAAAGCTTCCCCATTTGTGGAAGATTTAGATAAATTGAACACAAAATACGAAGTTTCAAAAGATCCAGAAGAGTGGAAATATGTAGAAAGAGCATTACCATTAACAATAATTCCAGAACCAGTTGCAAAAGAAACCTACCCATCTGGTTGGAAACCCCAAACTAATGAAGTAAAAAATAGACCTTATTTTATTGAAAGAACGAAAAACCATATGATTCCCGTTTATTTAGACATTTCACAAAGAGGAGTTAGAAGGCATACACTTATAAAAAGAATTCAGGGAGATATTAATTTATTCGAAAAAGAGTTGGTAAAATTTCTGCAGAAAGAATCTTTTCAACCAATTAGGAGTCAAGTAAATGAATTTGCTGGGTATATTAGAATTAATGGTGATTTTGTAAATGCTACTAAATATTTCTTGGAAAAAAAGAATTTGTAGATACATTGTAATGTATATAAAATTTTTAGACAGTATTTTAATGAAATTTATTTAATCCTTATACAAACACAAATCTGCAAGTAGTAAAAGCAAGATATTTTTATTTATATCCTCAAAAGCTAATAACTAAGTACAACTACTGATGACTCTTGCTATCCTACCAAAAGTAAGATTAGGGGGAACTTCCAATTTGGAAATTAAACTGGTTGCCTATTATTTAATAAAAATATGTTTTGAATTTAGATTCTTGTGTATCAGAAAAATAGGGACTATTTATTGATAAAATGTATCATCAAGAGCTATTATAATTTCTGATAAAGGGAAAATAATGAATAATTATAAGATTGATTGACTTATCAGGCAAGAAAGATCAATCTGATTTTTTCAAGCTTGTCTTCTGAAAATAAATACATGTACTGTCATATTTCTACCTAACTATATGTAAAATATTTCCTGTTGGCATAAAAAATGTAGAATCCTTTCATCTGACTTTTATTACTGAAAAGGGATAATTGAAATTATTGAAACACAATAATTAATTATTAATATATTTATTTATACCTACTAGAAAAAGTAGACTTAAAAAATAATCACATTATATGTATGATTAATATAATCAATTATAATTTTTGAAATAATAAAAAAGTGTAATGCAAGTTAATTATTTTTAATAAGTTTCAACAATATATATTATGTTTAAATAGATTATCTACAAATATAACAAATTAATCTAGAGCATCAAACATAGGTAAGTAATTTTTAGTTTGCAATTTATATTCACATTAGATTTCTATCAATTTAATAACATTAATAAAAACATGTGTTATTTTATTGGCATAATTTGTGGTGAGGAAGGTCTTACAAGTTCCAACATAGTTCAAAAGATGTTTAAATTCATTATATAGTTTAAAATTTTATGCAATGCAGTTGCACATATGTCCAATTTTATCTGTTACTTCAGAGTGTCTTGTACATACTGAATAGTTGTTTAGATTTAATCCTCTTAAGCATATTTGATTTTGTCAAACAAACTTCTATCAGTTATAGCTGCAAACACAGTAATCATAATGAATGACACTTTACCCATAGTCAAACTCATTTCTATCCCCATCTTTGACAATCATGGATCCAAACTTATCAAACTACTTGCTACATCATTTCTCATGTTTACATCATTTCTCATGTTCTGTTCCATACTCTCTGCCAACACTTCCAAAATGTCCAAGATCAATTCTTTACTCAGCATCTTAACTTTGGGCAGCTTTGCAACCTACAGGAAAAAATTGAAACATAACTAAATAAACACACATAGGACAAGTTAAATAAACTTTAAAAGGATGGATTACACAACAGTGTCATCATAACATAGTGCAAAATTCCTTATCATGTAATGTTTCAGTCCTGTCCAGTGTTCCTCAAGGTTTACATATTAGTCCCCTATTGTTTTCCTTATTTTTTTAATAGCTAATGCCTCTTTTCATAGATGATATAGTTTTTTAATAGAAACATTGGTAATAACTAAATAAATACATAAATAATGAACTTACTTTGGTAAAATGATGAACTATCAAATCAAGAGCATATTTCTTTATATCAGTGGCATTCATCTTGTCTGCAGCTTCTAAAATTTGAATAACATTTTCAAAAGTGACATTCATCTCAAGATTCTGCTTGCAGAATGCCTGTAAGCGATTGTTGTGAAATCCATAGAAGTATGGCGCCGAAAATAGATAGAGAGAATCTTCAGGAGGCATATTGACATCACCGTAATAAATATATCTCAAAAGAGAGTCAAAAGATTCTCTTGAAGGTATGAGTTCTCCTATTTGAATCTGTAATTTGATTTTTAAAAATTATGACTCACCATTAAATCAATAATAACCGACTTACATTAACTGTGCTGTCAGCTGGCATGAAAGATCTAAACATTCCTTCAAAATATGCACATCTCGCAGCTAAAATAGTTTTATGAGCTGGTAGGAGTAAACCATCTAATTTCAAATCTATATCACAGAACTCTTTTCCAGTGTTTCTTAAAAACATCGCCATATCTTGTTCCAATGATCCCCCAGAAGTATTAAACATTGCATCGTTGTTTGCCTAGAAATAAAAGTTAAGCTACATGTGAATTTTGTTGTTTTTATATATAAATATACCTTGTATTGTGGCATTTGTTTCCTTCTGATAATCTCGACCATCAGATTCCTTTCTAAAGATTCGAATTCTGAACTCATTACTATTTGATTATAGTTACTTTCTTTCACAATATATCTCAAACAATGTTCCTTAATAAAATCTAAATGAAGCTCATCAGCATTATGTAAAGCAACAAGAACATTTTTTAGACTAATAGTTCCATTAAGGTACTGAACACAAAGTTGTTCTAATCGCGCCATTTTGAATTGAACTGCCAATCTAATAAAAAAATGCGATCGTTTTGAGAAAATATTGATTAAAATATGAACATTTATGTACCTATAAACATCCATCATTCTAAGAACAATTCGATTGGAAACTGGATCTTCATCATCCCTAGCTTGTTTTGTAGGATCAATACAATCCATATAAATATAGTTTAGTACCATTTCAAAAGCCTCAGGGTTAGCATCTGGAAGTTTGACTTCCACCAGGGGGATATCAGTTAAAGGAACCTTTGATGTACCAAATAGTGTTTCCAACTGCAAATCCCTGTTTTCTTTAGCTTGTCGAATTATGTTTCTCAGATAACCAGATCTGGCTGCAACTAAAGCTATATGCCCTAGAATAACATCTTCTTCAGGCCCAAGTAAAAATTTCACATCACAGAATTGCCTTGATTCCAGCAGTTTACCATAATCATCATGTAGAGTGCATTTTGGGTAATTAGAGAACTGAAATCTGAGCAGAATTTAATTGAAAATGGCAAAAGAAATGAAATAAAAACAAAAGGGTATCTCATCTTCTCAAATATGGTCAATGCAGTAACAAAATAATACTCATAATATATGATTTTGTCTATTATTTTGTTAGAAATGAAATATTTGGGTTTATATATTCCAATTTCCTACTAACTTGGCACAGCTTGGACAAAATTTCCCAGAAATTGTTTAACAAGAAAGTTTAACACTTTGAAAACATAAAGGAAATTAATTCAAAACTATAATACATTATGAATAAATGTTGCACTTTTGTTTCTAGAAAATTTGTTAATAATTATAATGAAACAAAATGGGTATATACTATGAACATTTTTATATAAAAATTCAATTATTTCTTAAAAATTCAGGTACATTTTGAAAATTATTTAATAGTAATTTATATATCACTAAATAATGCTTTATTAAATAAATTTTTTTATATCTATCTTATCTTAAATGTGATTTATTATTGGGTTGGAAATTATTACTTCTATATGGATTCAACCTTACATTAAGCATCCAAATTGCAATTAATTTAAACTCACCTATACATTTCCCCACTCCTAACATTATTATCCACAGTTCCCCCAAATATAAACATGGCTTCTCCAATGACAGCTGCAGCATGAAATAGTCTACCTGATGGTACAAAAGATTCTAGATCAGGTAAGATAATAGACCACTTTTGTGCATCTAAATCAAAGCAGTGTAAATCATTGGAGAGGGTAGAATCAGCAGCCCCTCCAAAAACATATAAATGGCGATCATAAGCAACCATTGTGTGCCCATAGCGACGTGCTGGTGGTGCAGGGGAACCTCTCAAGATGTGTTCAGTTGAGATTCTGCTCCATCTATAGAGAGAATTATGTACTATAAATACACCATTATTTACTTTAACTTACGTCTTGTCTGTGAAGCTAAACTGAAATAGTGAGTTAGTAATTTTAGCACCACTTTGTCCACTGAAAACAAACATACAGTCTCTAGCTACAGCTACAGGAAAGTTGCAGCAAGTTGGAGGACATTCTCCTTTCTGGTCAACTTCCTCCCAAATTTTTGTTTCTCCCTTAAAAAGAATCATATAATCTTACAATAAAACAACATATTTTTGATATTTTACTATTAATGAAATGGTCCACATATCATTCAATCTTGCATTTCCATCATAACCAGCAAAAATCCAGAGTTTATTATCAAAAATAGCAGCCCCATGGGCTGATCTTGGAACAGGAGTTGGTCCTGGAAACCACTTCCATTCCATCCACTGTCCTGAAGTAAACTTGTACTCAAAAAGATCATTCTTATTGGTGAGATTTGAATTGGAATGAATATCCCCAGTGTATCCACCAAAAACAAACATAGAATTGTTGTGCACTACTGCAGAATGGTGGTATCTAAAAGTAATTTGTTTTGATATTGTTACTAGTACAAAAGTATATTATTGAAACCTTGGAGCTGGTGGAGTCCCAGTAGCAAAGGCTCTGCCCCAACTTTTTTCTTTAACATCAAATCGAAGCAAGTCATTTAACATGCTCTTACCATTATCGCCTCCGAATACATATATTGCATCTTTATAAGCAACGACTGTGTGTTTGCTTCGTCTAAAAATAAATATATTTTTGTGAGAATACAATTATACATATTAATTAAATAAGTACCTCGCGCCTACGAATTCATCACATTCCAGCATACGTTTCCATCTATGCACTGTCTCGAATGGACCGACTTCTAATGTTAGGGCACTCGCTTCACCCGCACCGAGGCTCATTTTTTTTGTAAGTCCGCCGTTCTTTATCATTAAGTTCTAAATTCCGTGCACTCTAAAAACACATAATTTGTTTAAAAAAAATAGAAAATAACAGAAGTGGGAGCCCCGTGACAGCTGATTGGAGCCCAATGAAAGTAATCAATACAATTTTAAAAATATTTCGTTTTGTTTAGGTAATTGGGTAGTATTTTTTTTTGTTAGTGGTTGTCCTCTTCTTCTTTTTCTTTGTTTGGGAGTTGTCTCTGGTAATTCAGCCAGCCAGCTTTCTTGAATAGTTTCATATCTCTTCCTATATACTAATTCAGCTACCTCAATTATTAACTGGCCTTTTATATAGGTAGATTACAATTTCTTTGTTTTTGTTGTGGTTTGTGGGGCTGGTGGTTTTTAAATTTTAAATGTAAGTAAAATGTGAATCATAAAAATCATCGCATACAAAAATAGTTTACCTTTATTCAGGTATTCAGAGTATATTAAATTTAGACTTTGTTTTTATATTTAATAAAGAAGAGTATCACAATGACTTTAATTAAAATATTTTAAATTATATGTATTTTTCTTTTGAATAGATACAAAAGTTGTATAAACCACAGTTTTTAAAACCCCAATTTCAGCTGATGAAATACCTAGGATCATCACAGTATGTGTTCTGTGGCTAGGAAATGCGGATCAAGGAAAGTTAAAACTAAAAACTAAGGTACATGTAATTGTAGTTACCAGCACTGCATGAAATATTAAATAGTGCATTAAATGTGTAGGTACCGTAAGATAGAGTGCAACTATAGGTAGGTATTCATTTCCAATTTACTTAAGCATGTAAACTTTATGAATGAAAGGTTCAGCATTGTGGATAGTAAAATAATTAAACACAAAACAGAAATAGAGTAAAAATGTATTATAATATCTGCCACCATATATTATGTACTCATAAAATTGAAAATTGTATATTATACCTAAATATAATATGAAAGATACTAAACTTTAATGGTTCAGGTATTTACAAATAATGAATCAACAAAAAGCATATCATTTAGTGGTATACGGATTGTTTCAAAACTACACAATGATGTGGAATACGTCTATGGAACTGGAAACGAGTATTCTGAAAGTGTGGGTAAATACCCAAGCATCTTCTGGACTTACATTCATGCCATTGAGAAATTTATCCAGTTTAACATTGATATTATCATGTCTGATAGACAAGTACCCATCAATAAAGGGTAGAGCTCTTAATGGTCTGAAGGTATCAAAGCACTTTAGATGTTGTAGCAACTATAGTCAGTGTAGTCTGTAGGTACCACATACCAAGAAAAAACCAGGCAGAACCGCACTTTTTATAATATTGAATAGGTGCATAAATAAACAAGAAAAACAAATTAATGCTACCAAAATATCACATCTATATCCACTTGTTTTTATTATATACTTCCCTTGAAAATTGTCCTGTAGGAATATGAACCTTTTAAACTTTGTCTGCCTGAGTAAGTTTTAAATCAGTAGTAGGCCTTCCTAAATATTTATTATGGCATTTTTCAGCTAGTGAAAGTCTCAAAAAATTAGTTTTTAAAATATTTTGTACAGTATTTGCCAAATTATAAAAATGCCTTGACCTAATCACTTACTTCCTGCGAAAACGACGTCAACAAGATATTCTCGACCCAAAAAAAGCTTTACACCAAATAAATAGGGTGGGTATTCTCAAAGAAACATAGGGTGTTTCCCCAGAGCTTGGAATTTAAATTGTATTTCTGTCAGATTAGTTGTAAATATATTTTAAAGTAGTATATATGAGATAATTTAAAGGTCCTTAAAATTCGGCAAATGATATCGAAAATCGATGATTTGATAACGTTGGTTAAGATAACAAACAGACGCACTGAATAGACTGGTGTGTGGAGCAGAGGTGGATATTTTTGCAGCCATGTTTCAAGTAAAAATTCCCGACGTCGCTCGATTGACTGTCTGCGCACCTAATTTTCCAATTTATATAAACAATATTTATGTACACAGACGATCGCTCATCTTCAACTAACTCATGTCTACAAAGTTATGCTATTTATACGAAAATGTAGCGATCCAGTCCTTTTCTCGAAGTTTCCAGCCGTTCTAGACTAACCAATCCATTAAAAAATTAAATACAATAACTTTTTAATAACCGTCGTCTGTCATTAAATATTTTTGTTGTCTAATCTTGATTTTGTTTCAAATAACTATTTTAGCATTTTAAAATATACACCAATGATATGGTTACTGATTGCGAAAAATAGTTAGATTTTGAGAATGTTTTGATTGGACTTTTCTAGTAAATAAATTTATTTATGTAGGTAGTTATTATTAGAGTATAAAAATGAATAATACCAAAGGTACCATTTGGGAATGCGAGATCTAATAAAGCAACAGGCGTAGAGAGACAGCAAAGGCGACTGAAAACGGTTTCTTCTGAACACATTTAATTATATGAAAAACATTTCGGACAGCGCGACCGACGACAGCAATTTTAACACGGCAGTATTTGCTGCTTGCTGCCTGTCGCATGTCGTCTTACTCGGTCACGCCTTCCCAAATGTTACCTTAAAACTAACCTTTATAAATTTTAAGGCGGTTTATGGAAATAACCAATTTGCTTAATGTACTTCAGATTATCATTATCAGTTTAATATTAAAATATGTGTTTGTTTCATTGTTGCACTTTGATATCTATGGTAAGTAATTCAATATAGAAATTCCTGATGTTTAAATGTGTTTGCTAAGTATAAAAGCCAAGAATAAATAAGTACACGAATGACATATTTTTTTATTTATATTACCTATGAGATTGCAAAAACGGTTTTGCGTAAAATATATTTTGGCTAATTACTAATTACAGCTTTAAAAACTGATAAAAATGTAAAAATAACTTAGACAAGCGCTAATTTCGTTTTTTAACGACGTAATTAGCTTTCCCTCCTCCCACTTAATTTTTATTAGGAATTATTATCATTTAAATAAAAAATTAACCTAAATTTTAAATTTGTATACATTCGCTTAGATAGTTTTTAGATTTGAAATTAGCAAAGGTGATATCGTCCTTGATCTCGTTCTATAAATAAATTGTAAATAGGTATATAACATTTTATACATGAGACTGTTTAAAATTTTTTGGCAATTTTTGTTTCATTGAATTATTTTGCAGTTTCATTGCACCAAAAGATTTTTTTTACTTTAATAATTTTTAGCGCTACTTATAAGTCAGGCTTTTTGAAAAACTATGCTTTTTCTTACAATCCGTAATAATTTCTATCTAGACTTCTCTATACAGCTGAAATTTTTTCTCGTGCTAAAGTCACCCATGCGGGTCAAAGTCACCCGAATTTATTGTTTATCACTATATGATCCTATGTTCGTATTTAGGTAAACTCTGAAACATTTGTATTTAGTTTCTGTTCATATACTGATAAACCACTATCAAAAATAAAACCACTATCAAAAATTTGTGAAATATATTTCCGCAAAAAATGTACTACCCATTCATTTATTCCAGATACAGGAGTTATCAATAAAGTATTTAAAATAGTAAATTACTTAGCAAACATAATTAAATACACATTTTTTTTCACTACTATCGTAAGTGTAAACAGTCTTTGTTTGAGAGATAAAAATGGAAACATTATTATTTGTTATAGATATGTGTAGAGTAATATTGTTCTGAATTGTGGAGTGCCGTAGTTATGGCTGAAAAAAATGCAAAGAAAGAAAATGAACACGTTTATCCCGAGGGAGGATACGGGTGGGTGATAGTATTTGCTATAATTCTATTAAATGTAAGTACCTAAAGTTTACCTATTTGAGATTGAGATTTAAAAATAAAGGAGATTAGATCGAAAGGCGTGATTTTCCGTGATTTACATTTTTATCTGTACCTAAACGATTTTATCTTTTTAGTTCAATTATGTTTTTAGAATATACATTCCTTTCGAGTTGAATACTATACTTTTTAACGGCTATAATACGCTACTGTCTATTTTTAATAAATCAGATTCTATAATTGATAAAATTTAAATGACAGCTCTCTTCTAGATAATAGGTTTGTTCCAAAGATCACAGAAAGCCCGAATGCGATTCAGATTTACTTAAAATACATGAGTGAACTTATAGTTCCACTGACAGGTAACTTTTGACACAAAACCATTTCGTCATTATCATGCAAGGATCTGATACAGAAATAGGTGTTATCAGAATTATCAAATAAATAAATATACCACATTTCTTAATTAATTAATTGAAAAAGTTTGGTTTTGTTTGTATTATAGCCGCAGAATACATTTTAACTATCAACATTTGTTTATATCTTGAACAATTTTGTAATTAAATTTCTTTTCAGACAAGCCTCCTTACCCTAATTTACTGTTTTGGTATTATTTTCCGAGATGAATTCAAAGCGATGGGAATCACTGCCGCCAAAACTTCGTTTCTTCTTCATTTACAAAGTTCATTGTTTTGTATTGTAGGTAAAATTGATAATTAATAATATGTAGTGGACCGCTAATATTGTTTGGCGAATATTTTTTAGGTTTTTTTGGTAGTCCATTGTTAAAAAAATTTCAATTTAGATGGGTAGCTTGTTTAGGCGCTTTGATATGGTGTACAGGCATTTTTCTTACTAGTTTTGCTAATTCGTATGCAGCGCTTGTAGTTACAATATCAATTATGACAGGTGAGTGACATGGTGCTTTTAACTTTTTTTTATTTAATCCCGATAGGTTCTTTCGTTTGCTGTTGGTGCAGTGTCCACCAGTGTAAATTACACCACCTTATTTACCTAGTTTACTTCCCTCCTTATTCCTCATACACATATCTAACAGTGTAATTTACTCTTGCTAAAGAGCTTCGAGCATAATATATTCTCGAAGCTAAGTAGCTAGTGGAAGAATTATCCACCAGTGGACACCATAACGTCGATCGAAAGGTTAGTGAATTTTATACCGGGCCAAACAAAAGGTATGGTGTCCGTTGATTAGTTTATTCCTACACCAGCGGGACGAACGAAAGAACCTGTGATTTCTATTTTTTCATTCCCTAACTAAAGTTTTTGCTGGTAGAGCTTGATTACTATCCGGGGGGCTATTTTCAAAGTATGGGAGCACAAATTTCTCTCAAGATTCTCATCAGAAATGTCATACGTTAATGTGGAAATGTTGTTTTTAAAGGCATCGGAGATTAAAATTCTTAGGAAGATTTTAATTATCTCTAAATAAACCGAGAGAAACAGTCAGTGAGTTCACACTGGCCCTAAGAGCCCTAAAAATACGATTTTACGTTGACGTATGACATTTCTCTTGAGTTTGAAAATAGCCCCCCCGAAGAGTATATTGCGTAACAAAATCGCTTTCTTTAGCAGTGGCGTGTGTACATTTATAAAATATTTTAAATCTGAAATACTCGTAAATGAAAAGTACTAGTCAGAATTTCGACTATTGTTTGTCAAATTGTTAATAAACTGTAAATTAATAAAATAACTGAAAATTTTGCTTAATAATAAATATATTTGTGATTATCTGTTTCAATTATAATTTTCAATATCCGAAAATTCTGAATCCCACTCGTCAGATGATTCCGTATTTAGATAAAATATAAGGGAATCTGTATATCCATGGCCGAGGTATACGCAATTTTGCAATGTGCAAAAACGAACAATGAAAGAGCTGTCGAAAATCAGCATATTCAAATAATGTCAGACAGCCAAGCGGCACTTAAGGCCATATCGAGTCAGAAAGTTACGTCGAGGCTGGTATGGGAATGCATCGAAGAACTAAGAACACTGGCAGACCGTAATAGAGTAAAACTATTTTGGGTGCCAGGTCACAAAGGGATCGAAGGCAACGAAAAGGCTGACGAACTTGCAAAAAAAGGGTCAGAAGAAACACCGGAACCAGACATAAACCCAGGAGTACCAAAAAGTACAGTCCGGGGTTTTATAAATGACTGGATTCGGGAACAACATATCAACTATTGGGGAAGCACCCCAAAACAGGCACATGGAAAAGCCTTCATAGGCAGACCATGTCCCAAAAGAACTGTAGAACTACTCTTAATGAATAGGAACCAGTTGAAAGTGATAACAGGGTTCATGACTGGACACGCCCCAGTAAAGGGACACTTGAACAAAATTGGCATGTACAATGGGGAACTCATGTGCCGACTATGTCACAAGAAACCAGAAACGGCCAAACACATACTAGATCGCAAAGGACAGGCTCTTTTTGGACAACCCCAGGTTGATCCAACAACGTATAGAACCCACTCACCCAAGGATCTGTACAAACTTGTACAAGGTACAAAGGTGATAGAGTGGGTGCTATGAACTAACATGGGGTAAAACACAATAAACCAATAGGCTTCAGTGTTATTCGGAGACACATAGTCAGACGAGCCCAGTAGAGAAAAAAAAATATCCATGAATATATTCTTAAATTTCTCTCTTGCTAATGTTTCAACATTATTCAATTTAAATGTTGTGTTGGCCCACCCAGTTTTTTACTTGCCCCCATATTTTCTTTATAGGATTTAATTCGGAATGGTATGGAGGTAAATGCAGAACGTCGTGTCCACTTTCTTGTAGAAGGCTATCTAAAAGAAATGGTGGTGGTCTGTGAACTTTGATGAGTTGGTAGCTTCAAATCGAAACAATAAACACAAGAAAATAACAATGACAGGAAATGCAATAAGTAAAACGCTTACTACGCTACTGAATGCAACTGTACAGTATTATAAATAAGACGCTGGGAGGTCTGTAACCACGTTTACTGCCTATAAATTCAATCTAGTTTCTGCGCATTGTAAAGTAATGTACTCTACGGATAATAATCAAGCTCTACAAACATAGACACGAGTTGTAACGATTATTATAGTCAATTTCAACTGATTTGGCGTGTGTATATATAGAGTGTTATGTGAAAATTCCCATTTAATTATTATTTTTATATTTCTAAATAGAGATAAACATTTTAGGTGTGGGCCAGGGGATACTAATGCCTGCGACCTACCTTGCCACAAACTCGTATTTTAAAAAAAGACTGACTTTAGCTGTAAGTATATCGACAACAGGTGCTAGCATCTTTTCAGTATTTTCGCCAAAAATGTGTGATCTTTTACTGGCCAATGTAGGAAGGAGATATACAGTCCTAATTTTGTTTTCCATCAGTCTTCTCTCGTTCATCGGTTGTTTTTTGTTAAAGCCAGTGAAAAAGACAATTGATATTGATGAAATGATGGAGTTGGATAGTAAAAATGAGCAGGTTAGTATCGTGTTTATTACATTTTTACTTTCTTGTAAAATATAAATAATATAGCAATTAAATGATTACTCCGACATTCGTGAGGGCAAGAAAATATTCTTTTGGATCTTCAAAAGGAAACTGGATGCTCCAAGCTTATTTCTTTTACTATATAATATGATTCATATAATAATATGAACCGAGGTTTAGAGCCAGTATTTTCGTTTTTAAGTAAGCTTAGGAGTTTCATTTAAATTGTGTTTACTTATATTTCTGTAGACTTATTGTATTTTTTTTAGGTATCACCAAATAACGACCAATCTCCACACATTTACAAAGAAACTACAACTCCTAAACAGAAAACCGAAACGGTGATATCAAAAATAGTTAACATGTTTGACTTAAAACTCTTGAAACAAGTGTCATATTCTGTAGCTGTCGTTTCGTTGTCGATATCCTTTGCAGCAGAACTTAACGTGATACTTATGATGCAATTTGTACTTCCCGAATTGTCAGATTTTAACAGAACTGATGTAGCTAACATTATTTCGGTGCAATTTATGTTTGACATTATTGGAAGACTGTTCATTCCTGGTATATTCCATTGTTTTGGAGCTAGTCCCAAATGGATTTATATGGGTGCCTTATTAACAGCCACTGCAGCTAGAACCTGTATGTATCCCAGTTTTTGTTATTTAATGTCAGTATGTGCTTGTCAAATTTGTACTTGATATGTGTTTTGGACATGGATATTTGTCTTGAATAATGACATAATATAACGAAAATTTACCAGTAGGTAGGTAGGTAGGTGGAGCTTGAATACAAGACTAATTTTAAAAATAAAATATTATTCATCTTTATTTTCTTACATTTCTAACAACTAACAAAAACGTAAAATCTATAGATACATTTTTAAATAGGTCCTGCACGGTTAAAGAAATGTCCACCTTAAGTTCGATTTTATCCCACTGGTACAAAGATTCATCTGGACAAGGGTAGTTATATAAGGCCAATGTAGATGGACCAAATATTTTTATGTCTCATCGACATAGGTATTTTAAATACTTTTATAAATGACGTAACATACAATCAGAGTTTAATAAAACATTTCTTAACGTAACTTTAATAAGAAATGCCTATCAAGTATTTTAACATATTTAATGGAGATATCGTGATAAATGGTTCAGATTTACAAGATGAAATAACATCCGTATTTTATGGGCTTGACATCGTGTTCAATGAAGACATCAAAAAGGCTATGCGAAAGATGCATAAGAAATGTGATTACAATACCCAAATCAACATGTCTACACCCCAGGCAGGTCTACTGATTCAGTCCTTGACCTGGACAATAATGAGTCCGCCTTATAGATTTTTCCAAAATTGCTGCCATCTTTTTTATACACTCTTGTTACATTTAATATAGTTACTAGAATAGAATAATAATAATTATTCAATTTTAATATCAGTATAAGAATAGACAAGTTACAACTTATGTTTTTTAGTAATGGTTACATATTCTCACTCTCACGTAGCTGTCAATGTAGCAGTATGCATAATTGGAGTCACCAAAGGATTAAGAGCAGTATATCAGTCACTTATTGTACCAAAGTTAGTACCGCTAGATAAATTCGTAGCAGCTAATGGTTTTCAGATGTTCCTCACCGGTACAATTTCTCTAATTATTGGACCATTAATAGGTAAGAATACGTGCATATCAACAAAGAATAAATTCGATATAACCTCAAATTAGTCGAAATCTCTCTACATTCACTTTGTTCACGGTCGTTTTCACGCACTTATAGAAGATGGAGAGCAGATATTTTATGCTTGGTATTTATTTCAGAAATTCATTGCTCCAGGAAATCTGATTTTGTGAGCTCATTTTACGAGTTTGTAAAGATTTTATTCTAAGCTGAACTGAAAGCCATATATTTAAGTTATACTTTTTTTTTTTAGGTGCAATTCATGATTCTTGGAACTCTTATATACCTGCTTTACATGCAGCTTCAATATTGTCTTGTGCGTGTGTGATAATTTGGACAATTGAATCAATTTTTAATAAACAAAGCAGTATTCCAGAGAGTTAATTTTAAGTTTAAACTTTTTTTTACTTATATAAATAAAGTATTTTTTTTATTTGAAGTTTTATTTTTTTTTAATGATATTTTGTAAGAATATTGATGTTTTTTTCTACAATATTCAAAGATTTATCGTTAATCATTCGTAAATAACAAATAAAACGATGTAAAAGAAACATGGCATTTTTTAATCAACAAATTAACACACGTACATGAATGATCGCTCTTCTACCATGTGGTTTAGCAAATTAAATAATTACCATTTTCTATTAAAAAGGTCATACCTTATTTTTAGTACAAATGATATAATGTAGGCATAACACGTAAACGTATGCTAAGAAAAAAACATTTTTAGTCGCATATTTATGACCAAGTAAACCACAAATTTGTTATACTACACTAGTGCTTAAATATCCACAGGACGAGGCATAATTAGCGCGTAAGTAATATCTATTTCAATTATATAACACACATCAAAGGGTCCAACTCACTAGTTGTTTTTATTGTTGGATGTAAAATGAAATATATTAAAGGTTTTCGTTTTCTTCTTAGACTAATTATCTTATTTATTAAATGTTTTTGACTACATTAGATCTTGTATTGTTCTAAGCTTGTAATTATTCAATAACTCTTGTCTTCCTAAGCATCCATTTTTCCTTCAAGAATCAATCTGTTATTTCTTATATCTACTAGAAAAGCAGATTTTCTTTGAATTAATGTTTATTTATTTTTTTATGATGATTTATAAAGAAATTCCCTCTGTGACTTACTTTTTTTAAGTACGAATCTGGATTGTTAACTTAAATAAATTATCATCAGCTTTGAGCCTCTTATAATACCGTGTTTTTCTTGAAAGCTTATTATATATTATAATACATATTAACAAGTGCTATCAGAACTATAAATAATCGCATAAGCTCATGCACGAAACTCGGCGCAAAACGTGTTCTCAAAAAATTAATTTCATGAATCCGAAGGGGATTTCTTAGATAAGTAATTATTTATTTATTTGAGAACAAGCCTGAACGCCGTCTGGCCCGAACTAGCACATCAAACTTCTGTCTACGAATTTCGACAGTACTGTCGTGGATAGTCTAGTGAAAGGGGCACTTGTTTGGCAAGCAAGAATGTTTGGGTTCGATCCCCGGTTGCGGCAGGCTTTTTATCAAATCTGCAAGTATTTGTTTTTACCTTTGGAGTTCAGGGATGGTCGGGATTTTTGAGTTTATTTCTGAGTTTTTAAATTATTCAGTAATTATTTCATTTAGATTAAAATTGATCCAGTAATAATACTGTACACAAAAATATAGATATTTTAATTAGAAAAAATAACTCATTAATAAATTTCTTTCCTATATAATTAATTATTTAAAATAATTTTTTTTCTTGGATATGTCTACTTCAAAGATTTATTACACACTAAACGTTAATCCTTGAGAAAACCACTTCATTGTCGAACAAAAGTAAAGAATCAATTTTTGGTGTTATTCACTTTATGACTCTTCAGTATCATGGAATTTCCGTATGAAGATATTTCTCTATTAATATTTATAAATCTCGAGTTCAGAGAATTTGCGATTATATGGATATAAATACAAAGTGTTTAAAGTTATCATTATCATAACAGAAATATTGTGTGTTAAAGACAATTGTGATTATTTTTTTAATTAATAAGTAATAAGTGTTAAGATTTTTTCGGCCGATTAAAAGAATAGAACTTATATATTAAGGTATGTTGTTTTCCTCATTTTTTTACAAATTAGTAACTAATTAATTTTTTTCATGCATACACTGTGTACAAAAAGTAACGAAACTGTCTAATATTCCAATTTCTAATAAGTTTACAAAACATATAATTTGAATAAAAGTTTTATGAAATAAAGTCAGTTAGAAATATATAGGGTGCATCATTATTCCAAAATAACGCAAGCATCAGCATCCCTTTTATAATCATAACAGATTATTTCATGGTGTTTCAAAAAACATATGATATCGCTCGGGTGGTGACTCCTTACCCAAAAATAAGATAAATAGTTTCTATCAACATGGGTATACGCAGATGTTTTATTTCAAAGATGCAGGGTGTTTCAATTTTACAATCAGTAAAATTATACCACAATGATACCACCTGCATGCCCCAACCGTACTGCAATTTTGGAACACACTCTTGAAGTGTGATGTAAATTGCTCACCATATAGTATCGGGAAGAAATTACATTAATAACCAAGGCGAAGCTCTTCTAGTATGTATTGCATTCAATAAACTAGAAGTGGCAAACGTTGAAAATGAACCAACCTTCGTAAGATCTGTACGAAGGAAGGTCATTGATATAACCCTTGTTCCCTCACATTGGGCGAATTCGTTGATGGGGACGTGACAAGTCTCAAAAGAAGTGTCTCTCCGACCATAGGCATATCCTAGAATCTGTAATTGGGGGTCTTTAAAGAAGAACTCAAGCAGAGATTAGAGGACTGTCTTCAGATTTGTAAAAATATCTAATCCTTTTTAATTTCTCATTTGATATTAAATCTAAAATCACCTAACTATGTAGTACATCTAAGAGGGTCAACTTACACATCTGGTGTGGATAATCCTCTATTAACTAGCCATTTTTGGTTCTTAATATAACATCTTTTTTATTATTTCTACGAAAAACTTTAAACCATTAATGATATATTATTTAACTTTCAGACATGGATCACAAACTCCTACTCTTATTTATTCTGATGATCTATATCAGTGTTTCAATCACAGAACCTATTTGTGTTGTGGATACTGCAGACAGAGTGAACCTAATTTGCAAAGATGTTGCAAACGTTTTCCCAAATGACATGTACTATGGCAATAAAAATCTGCAATGCGACAACTGTGACATAAGAGTATTTTCGTCTGCTACATTTCCTCACGATAACGTCTTACTTTCTATAAACATATCAAACACCAATTTGCAGGTCGTTGAAAAATCTGCTTTTTCACATTTAGGGAATGTTCAAAATGTTTATTTCGAAAATAATAAAATTACTAATATATCTGAAGGTGCTTTTGAAGGATTGAGACTAGTATACGAAATCAATCTTAGAAATAACGATGTAAAATCTTTAATACCTGGATTTGTTCGAGATTTGGAAGTTACGTATTTCTCTTTAGGTCATAATCAAATTGAAGAAATACCTAATAATGTTTTTAAAGGTGTATTAGTCATTGCGAACTTGATTCTATCTCATAACAAAATTAAAACGCTGCATTATGATTCATTCCAAGGGTTAGAAGCTACTGAATATTTAGAAATCGATCACAACGACCTTTGTTATATACCAATTGGAGTGTTTAGACATTTAAAAGATTTAACATACCTCAACTTAGCTAATAATAAGTTAGGTAGGTTTTCTATGGGTACTTTTTCTGGTTTGATAAATCTTGAGTCTCTAATTTTGGCTAACAATTCTTTAGAAGCATTTGAAGGTCAAGAATTGTTACCAATGCATAAATTAACGAGGCTGGACATCAAAGGTAACAAAATTTATTACTTTGACGCCCATCTTCTTTACACATCCGCTCCAACTTTAAAACATATCAGTATGGAGGGCAATATATTCAGTTGTCCCTCGTTAGTGAATGTTTTAAGGTACTTCAAAGGGAAGGGAATGACCATTGAAACTCATAGTGGTAACTATGACATTCAGAATGTTAATGGTATCGCTTGTATTGAAGCTTCAGTTGACGAGTTAACTAGAAAGGAGTATTTTTTTGAGAAAGCTGCGGAAGAGGCGCAAATGTCAATCAGTTTTTGTTAAATTTTAATTTAGTGGTGTTTTATTTATAGTCTTAAATGAATAGACTGTGATAGATTACGAAATTTTTCATATTAGTTCTACAAATTTGTTCAATATATAGCATTTTCGCTATTATAATGTTAATATAGTTTAATATACAGGTAGGACAGACGAAAACGTACCAGAGTCATGATTAGGAACTGCCTCAACATTTTAGATAAATGATCCGATATTTCTTTTGTCTTCAACTTTATATGTTGTTCTAACCAATACAGATGTCCCCCTTTAATAAAAAATTGAGATATCCGAGAGTTTGTCCAAAATGTTGAGTGCATTCTGTATATATTGTACTATACACTACTTTACTGTTGTTTCTGTATTATTATTATTATTATTATTTGTATTGTTTTTGTATTTTAAATAATAAATGTTCATTTTTTAAGTTTCAATTATTTTTATTCCCAAACGTGGAAGAATGGATTACACTGTCCCAAAAACATACTGACTAATTAGCTTGACATCGTTTTCCGTAAAGACATTAGAAAGATAAAAATAGCTATTGTCATATTGAAAAGGATGTTTAAAAGTAAGAATTATAAGAAAGCAATACATACTTTATTTTTCTGAATTTTACAAATCAAACACATGATTTTCTAATCTTCGATTTATCCTCTACCAAATGGAACCACGCACATTTTCAATAAATTTGAATAAAATTGTCTTGCTGGGCAATTTGATTTAACTGTGATGATGTTCCTACCTTTCTGGATCATAGTAATATTTGATTTTTTATGTATTTGGTATAAAACATTTCCTTTTACGATATAACCAGATTCAGAAATGTCCAATAATAGAAAAATAAGAAACAGTATAATTATTATAACTTTCATTTCTTGATATATTTGGAGATTCAAATATGTAAATAGAGAGTTGACTACAGTTATTTTAAAGTGGTAGTATCTTAGCAAAATAAAAAAGATCGAAGGTTATACAGGGTACTGGTTCCAAAACTTTTGTCTAGAAAATAGTAAACATTAACAGAAATTGCGTTATTTTTACCAGTCAGTGTTTCTTCCAAACAACTTTAAATAGGAATTTGTTAATAAGAAAATAAAGAAAACAGTATGGGACCAATATGTGAACCTTTATGAAGCAGGTAAGACTGAAATTTGCGCAAGTTTGCACTATGACTCAAAGTAGATTCAATTCAGTTTTATTAGTTCTGAACTAATGTT